TAAATAAGCATCCATTTCACTCATGTACTTATTTTCCATTGAAGTTGAAAAATGTGTCACATCACTTGTGTTCTGATCGAATAACATTGTCGTTGTGTTGTTTTCGATTTCTGAGGTGTTGTAAGTATTGAAATGTGGAAGGAAGTTTACTGAAGAAGTATCCAGGTTTTTTCTTTTAAGAGGGAAATCATATGATAAATGATCTGAATGGTCTCTTGATGTAACAGGGGAGACTATTTGCTGATAAAGATTTTGGGAATTTGTATTGTCATCTCCATTTGATGGGAATTTATGCTGCTCCAAGTAGATGTTGCATTGAGTTGAGACAAAGTCTATGACTTTCTCATCTTCTGGTAGCTGTCAAAGTTTGTAAAGGATGGTAATATTAGTTGTTTATACAAGGCTTTTATTTGAATATGTTAAATCAAATTGTACTCCTTTGACATAATATATATATATATATATATATATATATATATATATGTATATATGGAATTTACACTTAATAAAAAAAGGGCACCCCGGTGCACTAAGCTTCCGCTATGCGAGGGTCCAGGGAAGGGCCGGACCATAAGGGTCTATTGTACGCAGCCTTACTCTACATTTCTGCAAGCGGCTGTTTCCACGGCTCGAACCCGTGACGTCCTGGTCACATGGCAGCAACTTAATAGAGGGAAGAAAAGTAGCAACAAGTGAATAAGAGGGTGGAGGGAGGAAGCATATGTTTTACTTGTTTGGCACTGAATAACTCAAGCAATCCAAGAGGAGATGGAATCAAAACGCTGGTTCCAATTATTTCCTGCAATTAAAATCAAACAACATTTTGTAGAGAAATCAGGTGCTTCAAATGGAGGTTTATGCTAGGATAATTAACATTAAGAAACCAATACTTACATTGGACATACTTGATTCTGAGAAAGGTACAAAGTTCATCCATTTTGCTTGATTAGATAGCAAGGCCTGGGCATAAATCCTGCAATTTTATTGCAACGAGTTAGAATAGATATCGCAAAATTGATACTTGGATGGATTTATTTCTTATAGGGATCGGAAAACGGCCTCTTGTAGAAATGCAAAGTAAGACTGTGTGCAAGACACAATGTGGTTCGACCCCGGATCTTGCGCATAGCTAGATCTTAGTGCACCAGTCTATTAAGCGATAGGAAGAAGGAATAGGCCAAATTTGTACCCGGAGTCTAATGCCAGAGAAGAAGGCAGTTGAGCCAGTAAATCACAAGCAGTTGTTCTTGGATGCTGAAACATAACATCTCTACAAGGTGAAGTAGAGGAATCAGGGAAAAGTATCTCTTGTTCACAGCTATGCATATTTTGCTCAGCTCCACCACAACAGCAACAAATCCATTCAAGAAACCTACATCACACATAATCCACAACACAATTACAAAAGAGGCTTTCTTTCTTTTTTTCCTTTTTTTTTTTGGTTGGGGTGGAGGGAATGGAAGCAAAGGCCGATCTAGAACGGGTTCAGTGGGTTCAACTAAACCTACTGCTTTGTACTCATGCTATGTATACATATGCAATAAAGCATTAAGAATGCAATCGCGCTGTTTTGAACCTACTAATTCTAAATCTTGTATTCGCCTCTAGATGAAGCGGGGCAAGAAAAGATATTGAGATCATAAATTAAAATACCTTTGATCTTCACTCAACTTCCATAAAACACAGTAGTCCCAGTTTTTTAAGCCCATAATAGGCCTAAGCCTCTCCATTAGATGCATGAGTTCCATGTTTCCTATTTGGGAGAAAAACAACAAAGATTGAAATTAAATAGGATGAAAGGACAAAGTGATTTGGCAAAAGAATGAAGTACTTTCATCAGCAGATCAAAACAAAATATTAAAGTGAAAAGTGTTTGTCAACTTCTGACAGTGCTTATGAAATCATCATATATATTAATGAAGTCACTGTCTTTTTCAAGTATATTCACAGCTCAAAACAAAGAAAAACTAGACAAGGAATGAGAAAAACCTGCCTTAATGTAAAGATTGCTGCTTTTTTTTAAGTTGCTAATGGCTAAATTCAGATCATGTTGCTCCTTTTAACTAAACAAAACAAAAGAAAACAAGGATGACAACAAAAGAGATACTAAATTAAAAGCATAAAAAGCAAAAAAGCAAAAGCTACAACATAATTTAACTTCAGCTGATAGCTATGTTTAACTGATGATGTTTTCATTATCCAATATGTTCCCAAGTTTTCAAGAATCAAATTTCAGCAAATTCTCAAAGGAAAGTCCTACTATGTTTTTCTGAACTTTTGATTAAGAAGAAATAAACACAAACTACGTAGCTAAAAAGAAGGAATTAAAACACACTTTCTCTTTGATCTGAAAATCTGCCTTTTTGTGTGGTATAGTTGTGTTTGCGGGTAGGATTGTAGTTTTTAATAGAGAAAATTAATAGGTAGGTGAAAAGCAATGCATGCATGAGAAAGAGAGACGTTTGTTTGTTATGATAAGAGCGTCTAAAAAAACAAGAAAATATCTCTGTTAGATGAGCACTTTCTCACTCTCTTTGTGTTAATTTTTTTTTTCCTTGTAATTTAATTTATTCTGGTGTAAAGAGTTTAACGTTTATACATTGAGAAAAAATTTAAATAACACAAATTATTAAATTTGAAAAGAAATTTCTATCATCCTAACACGCACTAGACAATTTATGCAAATGAGTCGTGTCAGAAAATCTAAATACAACAATTACTACTACGCTCCAAATAAGTTGGGATCGGCGATAAGAGTCCTCATTCCTTTCATTTAGCTCAACTCGTATGTATTATGAGGATTCATCATGAATTGGGCTACCAGCCTACCGTAACCCTCCTTTATCTGGGCTTGGGACTGGCAATGAAAGCAAGCCCACACTGGCGAAGCTCAGAAAATCTAAGTAGTTGAAAAAATAATTATACAAACTTGTTATTTCTAGCTAGTTCTTGCTCAATGAATTACTGTGGTTTTTAACTGTATAGGCTATCATTACATTTTTAAATATCAATACGTGAAACAATTTGTATTAGTTTTATATTCTTTAAGTATTTAAGGCTCTCTTTTTAATTTAGAGACTGAAGATAGTATAAAGGAATACCAAAGGAAAGGAGAATAGTTAATTAATCATAACTGCCAAAAATGTAAATATAGAATTCTCCTCTTCTTAATAATTAGTTGTTGTTGATAGTGAATAGTTGTTGGTAGAGGCACAATAGATGAAAGATTATTGATCAAAAAATTAACAATTAGTATAAATTAAGTTCAATCATAGATAATTTGGTTGAAACGTGCTTATAATCTCAAAAGGTTAAAAATTAATTGAACAATCCTAGTGATACTAAGGTTGTTAATCACATGTGGATCCAAATTTTAAATCAGTAGGTGCAGAATATTATCATACCTGCTAAGCCTTTATAACAATCGATTTCCATTTGGCTCAAGTAAAACAATTTATACAAGATGGAGAGGTAGTTTTCTCCATTTTCTTCAATTCAAAAAAAAAAAGTAAAACTAAAATGTATATACATAAAACTTCAAATGGAATATAATTAAATAACACTAAAACAAAAATAAACGAAATGATTTGCTCAAGAAGATACCAGAGGAAATGAATAAAGAATGACTAAATAAGAGAGCCTTTCAACTAGCCTCGAAAGGGGGATTTGCATCTATACCCGCTTTTTGGGTCACGTTTTAACTTGTGCCCGCTTTGCAAAAAAATTACAAGCGTATTCACTTTTTCGCGTAACTTCAGCATACGGGACTGAAGTAGCAAAAGCAATCACGCAAAACTTCAGCATTCTAGTAGACGGGACTGAAGTAGCAAGTATGCTGAACCAAGTGTGCTAAAGTTTTTGTTTTTGTAACTGGCGAATTCTCTTGTAACTGGCGAACTTCAGCTCTAGAGCTGAAGTTTTTGTTTTGTAACTGGCGAACTTCAGCTCTAAATCTGAAGTTTTTGTTTTGTAACTGGCGAACTTCGCTAAAGAACTTCAGCTGCGTCGAATTATCAAAATGGCAGAAACGCCGGATCCAGAGAAGAAAATTAGTTGTTTGAAAGAGGAAAAAAGGGCAGAACATATGATAGAAGTATTCCTTGGAAACAATTCAGAAAGCATCAGCCTAAGAGCACGTTGTCTAGTAAATTTAACTGAGTCCCAAAAGAAGCAAATACAAATCAATTATCCCAAATCAGAAGAAGAACTTCTTTTAGATAAGAATTTATGGGAAAGAGAACACCATTCGTTCGAGGAGATGAGGGTAAAATCACTTTTACCATCAAGAAAAAGTGGGAAAAATACTTGGAATCAAAGAAGCAGAGGGAAAGAGAGATTCGTTTCGTACCGGAAAGAGAAATTCGTTTGGAGGAGAAGGAAAAAGAAAAAGGGGGCTGAAGTTGTTTAAAAAGTGGGTACAAGTTAAAACTTTTTAAAAAAATGGGTATAGGTTAAATGAGGGCGACCAAATAGGGCGCCCCGTGCAATTTTTACCCTCGAAAGCGTTTTGGCCATTTCAATTTTTCACGTCTTAAACTACTTTGCGAGTCGAATTTTCTTATTGATTCATCTCTTCTTCTCATACTAAACAATTACGCCTCAATCTCAAACTAATTAAATATTATTCAAATTCTCACAATCCATTTGACTGCCTCGGCCATTTAAAAAATAATAAAACAACTAGTTTTGTGGTAGATACTTTTTCTTTTCAAGTAATGCGCCAAACACTGATGCCTATAGACTTCTATGGGATATATTCTTTGAGGTAAAACTTTCTCGTCTTCATTCATGACGTCCTTTGATCTCAATCTCACAATGTCATTTCCTGTGAGCCAGAACCTCTGCATTTATTCATGGAAAATATTCTAAAAAAGACAGTTTGCCACGTCCCGATTAGATTACTTACCACTCTTAGATATAAGTAGGAAAAACCACAACAACAAAAATAAATAAATAAATAAAGCGCTCTTGATCCCTATAAAAAAGTTGCATACACCATATTTCAGCATCATAACAAACCAATATGAAGTATATGGTCAATTTGGTCAATGAAAAGGTTCCTGAATCTTGGTAACTAAGACAGCAAGGGATAGCAAGCATTCAAGAGATATAAGGGTTTCACTATAACACAACAATATTAAGTAAACATGGTTCAGTTTGGGCAACTAAAAAACTTCCTGAATCTTGGTAAACAATCAAGACAACAAAGGGAAAGAATGCATCCAAGAGAGAATGGTATCACTACCTTTCCCATAAGAACAGCTTCAACTTCCTAACGATAACAATAGCATATTTAGCTACATGCAAATCAATTTGCTGATAAGGAACGCGCTAACACAAGCACAGATTCAATGCTCGAAGCCTTGAAGGGTTAAATACTGGGCAGCGCCAAGAACCAGGACCGAAGAACTCTTGAGCAGCCTTCTGGTACATTTCCCCTTTCCCTGGATGCAGAAAATAAAATTCCTCCAAGATTTAAACCTAAAACTTGTGGAAATACAGAATATTCAGTGCAGTGGTGGGAACACAAGCTTCAAGGTTGCCCTGGGAGAACCAGCTTTGGATAATGTTCTGAGGTGTGCTAGTGGGGGTAAGCGGCCACCTATCCACCAACCTGAAACCAAATTCTGACGCTGCTGAAAGTATAGATGGTTCATCAACTCTGCGAAAGACGTGACAAAGGATTAGAGCTGGTGTGCAATCCTCCTTATCGCCTCTGCCAGATCGGATCAGCTCTTTTGCAGTTGCAAACAAAGGAGAGATTGCATCAGCAACATACGTGACATCTGTGCCTATTATGACATCGAAACCTCTATCATTTAGCCTTTTGATAGCCTCTACATCATCTCTATTTCCCCACTCAAGCTTTTTTGTTATTAGACTTGCACGAGTTGATGGTTGGAGATTCAGAGCGACATTCTGGTTTAATAGATCAAGTGCTTTTGTGTCTCCATCAGTGGCAACCACAAGATTAGCAGATCTAGCAGCAACCATGGAGCAAATGCCCCCACATCCACAACCCAGCTCTAAAACACTTTTGCCTGAAACAATGGTCTGGTTAGTAGCAAGGACAGAAGCCATAAGCCGAGCTGATTCCCATAACATTAAGCCAGTTGATTTGCAGGTATGCTGATACTCTTTTGAGAGGACATTTATCTTGAAAGAATAGTCTCTGGAGATGACATCAAGAATCTAGAATGTTGACGAATAAGCATGTAAGTCGGTAACTGGCGGATAAAACGTTGAAACATTTAGGAATCACTTTATACAAGCTTTTACGGGGATCCAAGTGACCCCAACTTCATAATTCTGAAGCAATCATGACTAACCACCTGGTTCATATTAGAATATGCTACCCATTATGGAGGCAAAACTGACAACAGCTATCCTAGACTAAAAGTATCAATGTTTGAAATACTGATATTACTATTTAATCAGGAACCTGTATCTATAAACTCGGATCAGATACCAGAAGCAAATGATGAGATACAGCAAGAACATTTAGTTTATTTGAATTATAAGAAGGGTCACTTGCCACCCCTGGATCAATGCATGAGCATTACATGTATACATAGGCCATGATTGCTTAACCATAATGTCAGTGCTAATGCATAAGCACAAATTCTAGCCATGTTCCCTTCTGGAACTACTTACTCTATTATTATCCTCGCAATTTCTGTATCTTCATAACAGCAAGAGGAATTAACACTAGAAGTGAATGAAAATTCTGTACCTCCTCCTTGGGAGATGAAATACCAAACATTTCAAGAGCCATCCCGTCGGAGATATCAACTTCAGTCTCATTTGCAGAGTGTTCAAGGGAAACTTTTTGTATTTCAGGCTTGTCATTATCCTTACCAAGGAATCTCACCTTGCTTTCAGTTTTCCCTCCAGATTTCCCACTACCGACACGAAATACAGCTTGAACCCAACGCCTGAAACCACAACAATAAAGTATGTCTTTATCCAATACACCAACAGTAAATCAAAAGATAATACTCAAAGTCAAGTATCAAATGGATGAGATGTGGGGGGAACCCCAATACAAGAGGATAGCATTAATGCAATACAGTCTCTAGCTTTGATCTTCATCTAAGCATCAGTCCTTGATTGTATGTGGTCTGCGTTTTGAACCCACACCACAAACCCAACAATTCTTTTTAAAAAAAAAATTATCAAGACCACAACCCCAACAAATTAAGCACTGAAAGAGCAACTTTGAGCAGTGTGCAATATCAAGTTTCCAATAAGGAATACCTCCAAAGTTGCTCCGCATGTTGCCTCTCAGCTCACGGGGCAACTGCAAATACTCAAGACAAAGGTTGGAGGGGGGTCAGAAAAACCCTCGGTAAAATCTAAAATCTTTAAAATTTGAACAAACCTCCCACCCAAGGAAGAATTGAACATGAAGGAAAAAGCAATTCACTTCAATAAGCAAGAGTTAGACAAGAACGGCATGGCTAATTTTGCAGGGTAGGAAAGGGTGGAAGGAATGATAATTATGGATTGCTATGAAGGCCAGTTCACAGCTTAGAGAAGGAATATTACAGTTCTTTGCATGTCAAGCAAAGAGATTCCTTGGGGAAGGCCGATCTAAATAAGGACTGCCGCAAGGACTCTTCAAACTTGCTCCTTCTTCACATTATGAATCCACTTTAATTGGTTAAGAAACTGATTTAGGTTCAATGAGGTCATAACCAGGAAGAGAACTATCACCTTCAACAAGTTAGGGGTATATAGTTAACCTATACACAAAAGACTAAACTACTGGAGGAGTTAGCAATGCTGGAGCAAACAACAGAGAACAGGACCCAAACACAAGTTGAAAAGGAGAAACTAATGCAGATAAGACTGGAATTACAGCAAATAGCAAAGGTTGAGGAGGTTTCATGGAGACAAAAATCAAGATGTTTATGGCTTAAAGAAGGTGAAAGGAACACTAAGTTCTTTCAGAAAATGGCTAACTCCCACAGAAGGAACAATTACATTGACAGATTGAAGATAGGGGAGGAAATCACTGAAGGACCAAGAATCCATCAAAGCTGAAATCCTAAGCTTTTATCAAGGGCTCTATTCAGAAAGTGAGCAATGGAGGCCTAGTGTCAATTTTGAAAACTTAGCTAGGATCTCGATGGAGGAAGAAGTGTGCCTGGAAAGAGCCTTTGAAGAAGAAGAAGTGATGGCAGCCATCAATTCTTGTGCACCAGATAAAGCCCCAGGGCCTGACGGCTACACAATGGCTTTTTACCAAAAAACTTGGAACTTTATCAAGCCGGACATTATGGCAGCAATCAACCATTTCCACCATAACTGTCATATGGTAAAGTCCAACAATGCCTCCTTCATTGCACTTGTCCCGAAGAAAAAAGGTGCAGTAGAGCTCAAGGACTTTAGACCAATAAGCCTTATTGGAAGTGTGTATAAGATGGTGGCTAAACTTCTGGCAGAAAGAATGAAGACAGTGATGGGGAAGCTAATCTCAGGGGAACAGAATGCATTCCTAAAAGATAGACAGATAACTGATGCAGCTCTTATTGCAAATGAGCTGCTGGATGAGAGACTTAAAAGTGGAGTCCCTGGAATCCTATGTAAACTAGACATAGAGAAGGTATTTGATCAAGTCAACTGGTTCTATCTTCTGTCAACACTAAGGGGAATGGGATTTGGTGAAAGATGGATAAGGTGGATCAAGTTCAGTCTAACCACTGTCAAATACTCAGTCCTCATCAACAGATCTTCAGTTGGCTTTTTCTCCCCTCGGAAAGGGATTAGGCAGGGAGACCCTCTCTCGCCTTTTCTCTTCATCATAGCAATGGAAGGTTTGAGCAAAATGCTTGATAAAGCAAGGCAATTAGAATGGATTGAAGGGTTCAAGATAAGCAGCAACTCAGGGAATTCAATCTCAATCTCCCATTTGTTATACGCAGATGACACACTAATCTTCTGTGGGGCTGAAAAACTGCAGCTGCAGTACCTCAATCTAACCCTCCTTATTTTTGAATCTATTTCAGGTCTACACATAAACATGCTGAAAAGCATGATATATCCTGTCAATGTGGTACCTAACTTAGACGAGCTGGCAGGTATAATGAGTTGTGACATTGGCTCATTTCCTACTACCTACCTCGGACTACCCTTGGGAGCAAAACATAAGTCAGTGGAGGTGTGGAATGGTGTGATTGAGAAAGTGGAGAAAAGGTTAGCAACTTGGCAGATGCAGTATCTCTCAATGGGTGGAAGGGTGACTCTGATCAACAGTGTTTTGGACAGCATACCAACCTACATCATGTCCCTATTCCCTATGCCAAGTAAAGTCCAAAAGCAGCTAGACAAATTGAGAAGATCCTTTTTATGGGAAGGTAACAGTGAAGGTCACAAATTCCATTTGGTGAAGTGGGCAACTGTAACTCAGCCAAAGTCACTAGGTGGTCTGGGCATTAGAGATCTTTCAAAACACAACAAGAGTTTGCTAATGAAGTGGCATTGGAGATATGGGCAAGAAGGCACAAGCTTATGGAAGGAAATAGTAAAAGCCAAATATGGTCAGCTGGATAATTGGAGTACCAGAACCACAAGAGCTCCTCATAGGGTTGGGCCCTGGAAGCACATCAACAGCCTAAAGGAAGTCTTCCAACAAGAAGTGTCCTTCAAAGTTGGTAATGGAGCACATGTGAAATTTTGGAAGGATAAGTGGCTAGGGAACTTCACACTTCAAGAAACTTTCCCCACTCTATTCCACCTAGCTACTGATCCTAACTCAACAGTCGCACAGAATAGATCCAACAACACTTGGGAGGTCCTTTTCAGGAGAAACATACAAGACTGGGAGATAGAAGAAGTGCTTGACCTACTTGGAAGGTTAGCAAATTGTACAATGAGTATCCAGCACACGGATAAGCTACGATGGGGCACTTCTAAGGAAGGGGCATATACAGTGAAGGCAGGCTACAATAAACTTTGTGCTTTGAATGAAGTTATTGACATGTGGCCTTGGAAGCTAATCTGGAAAACCAAAATGCCTACAAAGGTCAGCTGTTTTGCATGGACGGCTCTTAAAGGTGCTATTTTGACACAAGACAATCTTTGTAGGAGGAGCTTCCAGATTGTTAATAGATGCCACATGTGTAAGCTAAACTCAGAATCAATCAATCACCTATTTCTGCATTGCACAGTGGCTATTGATCTCTGGCACATGTTCTTCTCAATTTTTGGTATCAGCTGGACACTACCCCAGAACATTAAGAAAGCAGTTGAAAGCTGGAGCTTTTGGAAAGTCAGCAAGGCCATCAAAAGTATCTGGAAAATGGTCCCAGGTTGCATATTTTGGTGTCTTTGGACAGAAAGGAATCGAAGATGTTTTGATGGCATTTCAACTCCTATTCACTTTTTGAAAGCTAGACGTTTGGTGTATCTTTTTAGTTGGAGAAATATCTCCCCTGTAAATAATGTTATCCCCTTTCTAGACTTTATTGGTTCAAATGAGCCTAGCCTGATGGCCCATTTTTTTTGGTTAGCTCCCTATGATTAGAATAGCACATGATGTACTGGAGCTAACATCTCTTCTTTTGTACTAATTGCATCTTCTTGATGCCAGCAATACAACACCTTACTTCATCAACAAAAACCTATATGCCTCCTACCTCCACGATTAATGTAGCTCAAGATGATCAGGTAAGTGCCTGACATGACAAAAACTAGTAAAATAGTTTACATATCTTTCACCATTTAAGAGAATTGAAGGTTCTGTCAAACATAATATGCCATATTATCTCAGAAGAAACTTTGTTTTTCTACAATCCGGAAATCCTTGAGGTCCAGCTCTCGCGCAATTCGAAACTCAGTAGATAGTGCTCAAAAGAAACTTTATTTAGGATAAAGTATTACATAAGGGTATTAATCAAGAAATTCAAAAATAACAAGACATTCAGCTTGCTAGAAGTGTTACTTCTAGCATTTATGCAGAGGCAGATATTAATTCAAGAGTAACTGAAGTTCTCTGAACGTCAAACCAAATGTGGAACCATTATACATACTAGTTAAGATGTAAGATGTAAAACTTTCATATGTCCAATTATATATGGCCAATCTACCTAGAGCTCAGAAATAGAAAACACCTCAGGTATAATGAAAAGCATACAAACCTCCCAGAGAATACAGATAACTCTTCTCAGTTCAATTGACGTTCTTTTTATATTGGGATGTATCAAAATCTTGGACATCATCTCATTTTTAGCTTTTACAACATTCAAAAATCCAAATTCATTAATAGCTAACAACAACAACTATGCTTCCGTCTCAAACACGTTGGGTCGGCTCTAAGAATCCTGACTAACCATATTTCTCCATTAAAATTCATCTCGGTCCAACATTATACAAAATAAAACTATAAAGTACTTTTTTATCAGGTAAGGACCTTTATTAAAAACTTCAAAAATGTACTAGGAATTTTCTATATTTTCTACTGGTATAAAAATCTCTAATAGGGGTAAAGAACTCCTAGAAAGACTAAAACCTAAAGTAAACGTTCTAACATGACTAAAACACTATTCTCGACTAATTGTATGGGCTATATACATCTTTTCTTCCATGACAACCCTATCTTTCGCTAATTTTGCATGGGTTCCAAGACATTGTTGGTCTTTCCAGAGAACTTCCTTCGTTGTGCTTTTACGTCTTCCTCGTTCCCTTAAAACACCTTCATTCACGATGATTTCACACCTGTGAACTGGTGCATCTGAAGGTCGACGTAGGACATGATTTTGCTAAATTACTTGCACCTTCTAGTGAATATGGCCATTTTTAATCTTGTCTAAGTTTGTATGACGGTGCATCCATCTTAGCATCTGGATCTCGGCAACACTCATCTTGTGGATGTGTTGGACTTTAGTGCCCCAACATTCTAATAATTTTGTTGGTCGTATAACTGTTCAAAGTCATTGATCTATTCCATTGTTGAACTTTGATGTGGTATTTCCTCTATCAAGTTTTCCAATTTATATGAAATTCTTTCCATTTTGGAACGTTAAAAAATGTTTGACAACATCTCAATATCATGTACAACTGTTACAACGGTCAAAAATTCAAACTCATTAATCTATACAAATTTTAAACTTTTATGACTAACTTTTCAACAACAATAATATTTTCTTTTAATATCACTAATATAATATTTAAGCCAAACTAAATCTAACTTAGTATCCAGTCAAATACTCGCATACAATAAAATGGAGGAAGTAACAAATAAAAAGGTAACAATCATATACCTATTCATCACTAACTCCCTTGACCGATTTTCCACTTGCTTGAAACACAAGATGTGCTCCTCAGAATCAAAACCATTTTCATTGAAGAGATTCACTAAGAACTCATCAGAAAAGTAGAAAGCCCGCTGTTGATAGAAATAAGATGCTCAGCAACAATATAAGTCCCGTTCTCTGAGAAAACTCAATTTGTATCAGTAGAACTTACAGTCCCATCACCCCGAACATAGAAGTTATCACTGATTTTTTGTTCCTTGGAAATAAGCCTTTCCTGGAAATACAAACCATGTATGTATAAATCATTCCCAAATATTTACATTTTCAAACAATTGATATTAAAAAAAAATATATCAGTAAGTCCAGAGATAAAATAAACAAAAAAAGTGATATTACAACCCAAACTTAATCAAGTTAAAATTCAAAGGCCGCCATCCCATCACAGTATTACGCAACATAAGAAGGCAATTAAGTAAATCCAAAATTATTGCAAAAAATAATCAGTTCATGCAATATGGTAAGAATAATTAGATTAAGATACTATGTGATGAAGTCTAAACCTGTGCAAGGTCACCAGTTGCATAGTCACGAAATAAGACACAGCCATCTTTCTGGAAAGAAAAAAAATATAAGAGTCATGATAATGAAATCAAACAGCACAACCAACGAAATATTTAAGAACTTGTATCTCACCTTCAGAACTTTTCTGATGTTTTGTAACATCAGAGGCATCTTCTCAGGGGATACTGCAGATAGAACAAATATCTGCTTAACAAGTCAGCTTATTTGTTAAATAATATATGTTGCATAATCTAACCAAAATTGGAACAGAAATAAACATTCAAGACTCATGCTTTAAGTAAATAATTACGGGCCAACATAATTTGTTATGCAGAAAGTGTGTCGATAAAAGTGGAATAGCCCACAAATTATAGAAAAAAACTTTGGTCGAGTACCATGGTAACAACATCCACTGATGAAGGAGAAATATACTGGATCAGGTCATCAACGGTTGGATCACAGACAAATGCATTCACCCGAGCATCATCAAAATCCTTGTGCGACTGCAATAAATACAAATAAACTTTTAACACAAATCAGTGACTGTATTTGCACTTTCGCAACACATCCTAGAAAAGAAACTTACTCTTCGCATCAACCACAAGCTAACATGCAACCTGTCAAGAAAAATTGCTCTTCTACCTTACTCAACTTCAGAATCTAGCTCATGAACTGCCCATTGTCCAAAACAATGTAAGGAGAGACAACACACACTCAACCAACATGGAACACTCTAACCCCCCCCCCCCCCCAGACACACTCAGGATTGGACATCTGGTGTATAGAAAACAAAAAATGGAGGCGCAACATTGGGTAAACCAAGAATATGGTTGACTCTTGATATCATGAAAAGAAGGGAGAAGAGAAGTGATTTTGATAATGAATGACTTGATTATTCCTCAAGCCTATTGGGATTTAAATATATAATTACAGTCTAGATATCTTCCTAATCACAAAACTCTAGGGATTGTAGAGCTTTCCATATTTAGACGGTGTACACTCTTGTCACATTTACATATTCTTAACACAATCCTATTAGATGTTCCAAGGAAAACCTTTAGAGCAATGGAAAAGTTTGTTTGATCTATTAACTTTTGGATTGCGAAAAAGTTAGTTCTAGCCTTCGAGCAACTGTTACAGAATGTTGTTATGTGGTGATAACATTAAAAATGAAAGAAATGAAACGTAAGATTATAAGACCCACATATCATGGACTAAGGCATTCTAATGTGCCTCAGCTCTACAAACGACATAGCATGGCAATGTGTTTCAAAAAGAACCCAACCCAAAAATAAGAAATCTCATATGATAACTGAAGCAGATATATCCAAAAAAGAAAGGACACATATCCAACACAAGCAGCAAGATGAACCAGATTTTGTCAATGACTTGTTAGAAGTTTTTTTGGTACAGTTTTTGAGAAATGGGCATGTCCAACAAGCTGAAAATTCTTAACCTCCACTCGATTTCAACAATATTTAAACAACTAAGGGCAAATACTTTATACCATTGTTACTTTTAGAGGACCACCGAAAGAACTAAATATATACCTTAACTAAGTTCACAGCTCGAGGTGAAAAATCGCAGGCATGGACAAATATATTTGGTATTGTAGCAAGCAAAGGAAAGATGGTATTTCCAGCCCCACAGCCAACCTGTAATAAGCAGTATACCATCAGTCCAAGTGTAATGGAAGAACAGATGAACCAATTCCTTTAACAAACAATATCACACAAATATATGTTAGATTGTGATCATTGCATAACAAGAAGGTTAACTAAGCTTGAAAAATTTAGGAGCTTTCAACAGCATTTATTTGAATGCCGAAAAAGGTGATAAGAAAATTACAACTCTATTGGTGGACACCACAATGGCACCAAAAGTTAAATGATGGTAGCAAATTGAGCTCCTAAGAAAATACAGGAGATAATCTCTACATGATGAAAATAGACAGGCATGTACATCCTGTCACAAAATTGTGCTAAAATAGATTGTTAGATAACCATTTGTTATAATTCCAAAAAAAAGGGGCTCAGAATATTCGAAGGATAAAAAGAACAAAAGCATGCTAAACTAGAGAATTACCTCAAGTATGACTTTCCCGTCAGTCCCCTGCAAAGAGTAAGAACAAGATCATATCAATATTCAAATGTACCATCACAGTTTGAGAATAAAAATCATAACTTTCCATAGTCTTGTTCACTCACAGAGAAGTATTGGCCCCATTCTTTGTCCAGGTAGTGCCTGTCTTTAAAGAACTGATTCGAATTTCAAATCCACAAGAAAAAACACACACAAAAAAACAAAACAAAAAGACAGCAAAGCATCATCAGTTCAACCACTCAAGGAGGATCAAAAATCAGGCATTGAGCAAATGTAACAAGTAAACAGTAGACAAAAAACAGAAAATGGTATAGTTAGAGTAGTAAATTCAGATCAAAGGGTTTAAAGAGGGTATAAGAAACTGTACTTTGTCTTGATGGCGCTTGTAAAAGATATCCCAGTACTTCTTTGCATCTCTTTCATACTTCTCTGTTACCAGAGGGGGAAAAAGCTACAAATTCAGTAACGAAGTAATCCAAATAACGTTAACCCAAAAAACAAGAGAGAGGAAGCAGGACCTCGCCAAAAGGGAGAGATTTCACCAGTGGAGGTGGGGTATATCTGTATCTTAGATGCTGGTGGCTGCTGATCCTTTTCCTCCATCCCCAACTTCACCACCCTAACTTGGACAATATTCTGCCCGAAGTCAAGATTTGGGGTTTTATTCTAGAGAGAGGGGGGGAGGGAGATTTTGGTTAGCTAATAATGGAGGCTCAAAAAGGCCGGGGAGAGGCGCGAGCATGACCTATCAGTTATAATTGTAAATCTAAACATTTTGGCTTAAGAATTTAGGTGGAATATAATTTTGTAAAAAAAAATTGTGTTTGAATGACAATATTTTCAGAATTATTGTTTGAATTAATTTTGTTTAAAGTGGATGTTTCCCTAAGCAGAATACTGTAGCTGGCAACTTGCTACCCTAGTGTGATCAAAAAAAATTCTTTTCTTTCTAACAGTGTCGTTAATTTTTAGGTTAATGTAATGGAGGGAAACAGAAAATGGAATAGTAGGTTCTTATCCCCTCTTTATTTCAAGTTGCTTCGAGCTATATTATATTAGTATTATTTATTTTTTTAGGTTCTTTTTAAGGCAAGCATACGATAAAGCTATTCGAAAAAGAGAGTGGGCCGTCTTATTAATTAGCATCATGTTTAGTCTAATCTATATATATCTATAAAGCTGGACATTGAAAAGGTGATGTGGCATCCTGATATGTCCAGCAATTCTCATTTAATTAATTAGTACTTCATAGAAACTTAAAATTCTGTATTAATTAAACAATAAACAACCGTTACTTGAAACGTTTTCTTGGGTCATTTACTAGACACTCTAAACGTTGCTTGGAAGCCCAACCTAAACAAGCCGTCCATTCCTCATATCTCCAAACGTCTCAAACAACTGTGCCCTCCCCAAAATCTAAGACAAGGCAAATTTGGAGCCGCTGGTGACAGACGTTCAATTCGAATCAGAGTCGGAAATCAAGGTTCAGCAACATAATTGCTCGCAAGCACTCACGTGCTTCAAGGACAATACATGAGTTTGCAGGTCCCTTTCATTGCTTTTTAATTATCCTAATTTTTTTTATTCAATGTTAGTGCTATTTATTGATGGAATAAGTTTAAGTATCATTTCGTGTGATTTTAACTTCTTTCTTTCTTCTATAATCTGAAGTAGTCAGTTTTGCTGACTCTTTTTAGATACGAAACGGAAAAAATTGAAACATTTGGGAAGAGCTTTTATGGTGTTCCTGTTTCCAGAGACACTATCTCAACCATAACATTGCCACCACTTTTAGACCAGGAAAAGTGTTTATCTTTAACTTCCTTTTTTTTTTGCCATTATCTATCAATTATTTGGTTGTTTGATCTTCCCAGTTATTGTTTATTTATCTTGCAATTAGAGATGATAACGAAAAGTTATAATTGTTGTCAACTTTTTTTTATCAAATGTCCCCATAGAGACTGTTATTTTTTCAATAAGTTATAACAATCAATCGATTAAAACTTCTGCCTTCTCATTCTTATGGTCAAAATGTATCTACAAAGGAAAGAACACCACCAGCACTCTGAAAAAAGGAGACTCGCAAGGTTTAGATCTTTGGTTTTCCAAGCAACTTCGACAGCCAATGCAACTTCTTAACTGGTCCAGGTAATTCTTACTTTAGTATTATATTTTTTTCACCATCCTTGAAAGCTTATATTTGGCTCATTTTGATAACGTTTCTTTTGAGAGCAATACTTGGACATACTATGGAAGGGTGTGACCTTTTAAAATAAAAAAACTATTAGTTTTTTTGTGTTAAAGAAACTAAATTTTTTCGTGACAAGTGGTTGGAACTTATCTACATGTCTGATCGGAGGATTTTAAGGATATTATTGCAGGGACTATTTCAGAGAGTGCAGTACCGGCAAAGTAGTTGAAAATCCATAAACATTTATTATATTCTCTCGCTTTCTTCTGATAAAGTTATGCCCAAAGTGTCTGTGTTCGTGTATATGTATGAGAAGACCATTTTATGTTACCACTTACATAAATATATAGTTAAATATGTAAGTTCGTATTACAGATGTATTAGAAAAAAAATACCATTTGGATTTACAGATGTATTACATAGTTGAATTCTTGTTTTCAATCTACAATTTGAATAGAGGAGGTACATGTTATTGGGTCAGAATATTTCTCCTGCAAAATCTGAAAATATAATTATCAGGTAGGGTCTATATAATTTTATTTTTGTTCTCTTTATAATATTACTATCATTTGTTGCTTTAGATTTCCGTAGAATGAATAGGCCTGATTAAAGATTTAAAAAATAAAATGGTTAATGACTTCTCCTCTTCCTCCTCTTTTTGCTTCTTCTCATTTTCATTGTACTCCTTTGTCTTTTTTTTTTTTTTTAAAATGACATGTTTATGTGTGTTTGCCTTGGTTTTTGGGTATCGAATTTTATATTATTTTCAATTAATAATATATCACAATCACAAACATATAAAACTATAGACATATAAAAAAAAACTAAACGTTTAGTTGAATTTGATTAAATATTGTAATAGTGACATTTTCTCAATTTTCATTAAGTGTTTTAAAAGTTATTGTATGGGTCAGAATCCGACCTCACGATAATTAACGAAGTTAATCCCGTCTTAAGCTAATTCATGATTGATTAGTGGTACAACCACTCAGAATTAACGGTATCCAACCCTTATCTGATTCGACCAACAAGGCTACGGCCCGTCCGTCATAATAAAGGCGAAACCCCAACGTGGTCACGGACACTTATTGCCAGCTCACGAAGCTCACAGCTATAAATACCAAGAGAGGGAACCTCTTCAGGGAGCTTCTTCTTCTTTACTATTCAAGAGAGAGAGAGAAAGATATAACGAGACACATATTATGGGAAAGTGGAACATCATTGTAAGGCTCTGAACCTCTTCATGGAGAGGCAGGCCAAATCAACACTATCAATAAAGGCTTTTAATGTTTCTCCTCCTAACTCTGAGTATTTATTTTCGTTTCTTTCATTTGGTCCAATGGATTATTACGTTTTGCTATGATTTTCCCGTGATTTATTTATATTGTTTACACTCATAAGGTATATGATAACTTTTGAGCAAACAGCTATATTTTCTCTCTTTTTCCTTTAATACCTTATTTTGGAAATCCAAAAATACGCCAAATACAAAAGTAGATAAAAAAAATAGAAATGACGGATAGTGCAAAGATATTATAGAAATACAATACTAAACCTTGTGTTGAATTTTTATTTATTTATTACTCTTGAAATTATATCATAGAATATTTACTATAACTCATAGAACTATGTGTTGTGTTGAATTCTTAATTTTGTGTTGTATATTATCTCTTTTTTAGACCTTTTGTTTTCAAAATTGAATTGTTCATTAGTGATGGTTTCATTTTACGGCAAGATGTAATATATTATCTAAATATGGCAAATAGCAGAACAAGGTACCAATGTTAATAGTTGATGTTGATTTAAGTATATTACCTTAATTAATTATCCAATTTTATTATCACCAATAAAAGAAGATCCTACAATTTAAACCTTCAAAACTAGCCCGATGAAGTTCTTACAAAGGCGCAAAATGTGCGCTTCCATGTGTATAAAAATAGAGAAAGTGAGTCTTGAATATTTTGGAAAGAAGCAATCAACCTTGGAAATGCTATTACATCACAATTGATGATGCTATGGTTGAGGATTATAGTGAATATAAAATTGATCAAAGAGTAAAGATTAATCTTTAATTATAAAATTTTTAACAATAAATTTTCATTCATATTTTCGTTTTTTCAAGGCCGCGCGAAGCCCGGGCAAATTGACTAGTTGAATCATAAAATTGATTCTTTAAAGACAAATAATCTCCAATGATGGTACCAAATTCAAACAAATTAGGCACAGTTGAATTAAGAGCAGTGAGCACCCCCATCACTTTATCAATATTTAAGCCTTTGAGCCATGAAAGTGCTAAGGAGAAAGCTTCAGCATTACGGGAATCCAAACAATTAGAAAGATGGCCTGAAAGACCTTTAAAACAGCAGCCTCGATCATCCCTCAAAATTGCAATGAACCTTGTCACTCCTTCCTCTTCAAACAATATAGCATCTATATTGCATTTGAGCCAGCCAACGGGTGGTAATTTCACAATAACCAGATGAAGAAGGCCACCTTAGTTTCTTAATTTTATGGTTGGTTTTGCATAAGTTTGCACTTTCAAATGTCTAAACTGTTGGGTTTTTGTTTAAAGGGTGTGAATGGAAAATGGAAGGGGTACTTCTTGGATTGCACCTCTTCTATCTCGGTCTTTCATTGTCTATAAATTTAGAGGTTTGGCCTCATTTTTTAGAAATAGAAAATCTGAAAATATTTTCCCTCTTTTCTACATTGTTGCATTATTTTTCCAAATAAATACAGTGACAAGTGTGATTTGTTCCGTTTGTTGAGTTCGATGAAGTTCTATAATTTCGATTACCAGTATTACAGAATAGTTTTTCCGTTCCTGGGAGGAAGTAATCCATAACCTTGGGCAAGAGTGAGAGGATTAAACTCATTAACAACACACAATCAACTTGTGGGCTCGGAATTATTCACGATTGTTTATTGAACTAATGTTTCTTTTTTCTCTGATTTTCTGGTTTCAAACACATTATCGATACTAACAAAAACCACGAATTAGAGATCACTATAAAGTATTTCTTATTCCAAATTTCCAACGCTCATTAATCCTCAAACTTGCTTTAAAAAAAAATTATAGTTTAAATATGTGATTCTCTTAAAAGAAGTCCACGTGAGTACTCAAAGCTAGTCCTAGTAGGGGTTGGGTCATCAAACAATTTCTATGATTTAAGCTCACCAAGTTAAGAAATATAATTGTTTTAGTACATGGAGACCCTAGTTCTATTCCATGGATTGAAACTCACAAAGGAAAACATCTATTCCCATTGATCATAGAAGCTGATTGCAAAAAGTTGATCAAAATGTTTGCTAACAACGATTATTATTATCAAAATTTGATCGATGATGGCAGAGGGCTATTACTTGACTTTGGAGACCTGCCATTGTATGTCCATCGAAGCATGTCTTAATGGAGTTGCGGACGTGCTGGCTAAGAATTGAAGCAGTCAAGTTACTTTGTATATGTTGCCCAGGCTAGTCTCTTTATGTAATGACTCTTAATTTATAAAATAAATGTCCCCATTCCCAAGTATGATCAGTGTGCCAAGTAATACACACATGGACAT